AACGGACCCTTTCTTCTGTCCGCAGAATCCAGGAGTCCTCCAGCTGAGAAGGAGGTGTCCACCCCCACGCAGGTGAGCTCCTGTTCTTGTAAGAGAGCCAGGGCAGCAGCACCTAGTGGGTAGGCGTGCGGGCTGATGCCAGACCTAATTTGGTTTAAATCCCAGCTCTGTCACTTACTAGAAATGTGACCATGGTGAGTTACCTGTGCTTTTCAAGCCCCTGTGAAAGGGAATCACAGAAGTTCTCTTGTCCCAGGACTGTCAGGTGTGGAGCAGCCCTGGCCTGGCACGCAGAACTGTGTCTAGAGGCTGCTATTTCATCTCTGAGCTTTTTGGACACTGTTCACGGCTTAGCTTGAGATTGGATTCTGTTCATCTGAGTCCTTTCCCTGTGGACTCCTGGTGTCATAATTTGCTGGAAAGAGGATTACCTCTGAAGCTGCTTAGTAAATTCCTGGAGTGATCCAATTTCCTATCCAACTGTGTCTCCTCCTGTGGCCCCTTAATTCCCTAAATGCTAAGCTGGGAGGTATAGGCACTTCTGGAGCTGTGCAGCACAGGGAAAGAGCCGGGGGCTCTTGAACCGTATCTGTGTTCCATGTAGGAACAGCTGCAGGTGAAGCCCGTACCCATGGGGCTACAGTGCTCCCAACATGGGTTCTGGGGAAACTGACACCAACTGAGGGCTGGCCACATCCTGCTAAACGGTGAGCCTGGTATTTGCTATTTCATTGGCTCCTCATGTTGACCTTACAAGGGAGGCCTCGTAAGAGCTTCTTACCATGGGTTAAGAAGCCTGAGGCCCGCGCAGTGGCTGACGCCTATAAGCACTTTGGCTCCCAGCACTTTGGTAGATCGAGGCAGGTGGATCACCTCAGGTCAGGAGTTCCAGACCAGCCTGGCCAACATGGCAAAACTCCATCTCTACTAAAGATTAATTATTACAAATTTAGCCTGGTGGATCGCGCCTGTGATCCCACCTATTCGGGGGCTGAGGCAGGAGAATTGCTTGAACCCAGGAAGCGGAGGTTGCAGGGAGCCGAGATTGCACCATTGCACTCCAGCTTGGGCGACAAGAATGAAACTCCATCTCACAAAAAAATAAAAAATAAAAAGAAGTCTGTCCAAGGTGACATAGCTCATAAGTGGTGGAGCCAGGACTCCAGTCGAGGTGTTACCTGCCGCTGGCATCGGACCTGTAAGGACATCAGCTGTCTTCATGTATCCATAGAGTATCTTCTCTGTGCAGGGTGCTATGCCCTTAGGCTTTTATTGGAGAGACAGGTGGAAGAAAGCCTCACTTTTTCTATCCACTTATCAGTTGTGGATAGAAAAACATGCAAATAATAGAATTATTGTCTTTTCCACTGTTACAGATGAAATGGAGAAAGGAATGCTTTGGGTGGATCAGGGAGGGCTCTGAGGAGGAGGTAATTCCTGAACTGGTTCTGAATGATGGTGGAATCTGCACAAACAGGCTGATAGTGAAAAATGTCTCTTTTAGGCACCTACGACTAATAAAGACGACAATAATACTCTCCCCAGAGATTCTGCAAATGCGACAAGCCTCCCAGGTAAGGAATGGGTGTTTTCATATTCCCAGGGTCTGAGGGATAGAAGATTTGTCTCTGCAGAAAGTCCTTTCTTATTTGGACAGGTCATCAGAGGATTGATGGCAGAATTTTTTTTTTTTTTTTTTTTTTTTTGGAATCTCACTCTGTTGCCCAGGTGGGAGTGCAATGGCGTGATCTCGGCTCACCACAACCTCTGCCTCCTGGGTTCAAGTGATTCTGTTGCCTCAGCCTCCCAAATAGCTGGGGCAATAGGCATGTGCCACCATGCCCAGCTAATTTTTGTATTTTTAGTGGAGACAGTGTTTTACTATGTTGGCCAGGCTGGTCTTGAACTCCTGACCTCAGGTGATCCACCTGCCTTGGCCTCCCAAAGTGCTGGGATTACAGGCGCGAGCCACCGCACCCGACCAAAAATGTTCTTTTATTACTTTACATGTTGAAGTTTGGTATTGTTAGCTAAGATAAAATGAGGATACCATAAGAAAAGTGGGATAAAGCAGTGAGGTATTATCCAATGGGCCCACAATACAAATGAATGTGTGTAAACAAGATTGTTGGAGTCTGAAATGGAATACCTGTTGAGGGAAATCTTTATTTTGGGAGCCCACGATTTCAATGCTCTGATTTCCAATCCCTACAAGACCAGGAAAACTTACCAGTATTTGAATCAAGAAAGATCACAAGTCCTGTGTTTGACTAGGTGTATGGGACTTGTGGAATCCAGACTCCAGAGATTCACTAGTTCAGTGGCTCCAGCTGATGGCTTTTGGGCTTTGCGAGGGAGTCCCTGGCCTCATTCCCCATCTCTGGGTGGATTCCTGCCCGCACCTGATATTGGCTGCCTCTGCTACACCCGCCCAGGTGTAAAGCCCTACCATGGGGCAGTGCACCTGTGGAGCTCTGCACAGCTGGGGACTCGGAGAGGATTAGAGCCATCCTGTTCTCAAGGAGGCTACAGTCCAGGCTCTGACAAAGAGTAAACTGGTAACTGTGACAAAGAGCACAGTGTGAGATGAGCCAAAAGGGAGACACAGGTAAAGCAAAGTGGAGTTTAGAGATTTGAGAGAGTGTATCAAGCGGAGCAGTCACAGAAAGCTCATGGAGGAAGTGCCGTTTGAAAAGGGGTTTGAATGGTATGGGTGGGATGCAAGAGGCTGGGTGTTCAAAGGTTGCTGTGGGCCAGGCGCGGTGGCTCATGCCTGTAATCCCAGCACTTTGGGAGGCTGAGGCGGGAGGATCACCTGAGATCAGGAGTTCAAGACTAGCCTGGCCAACATGGTGAAACCCTGTCTCTACTAAAAATACAAAAATTAGCCGGGCATGATAGCATGCACCTGTAATCCCAGCTGCTTGGGAGACTGAGGCAGGAGAATCACTTGAACCTGGGAGGTGGGGGTTGTAGTGAGCTGAGATCACACCACTGCACTCCAGCCTGGGCAACAGAGTGACAGTCCATGTCAACAAAACAAAACAAAGGCTGCTATGGAGGAGAAGGACTCTCCAGTCCTCTCTGTTCCCCCTCACTGAAACCATCCATGGACTGACAACTCCCAGTTTTATATCTCCACTCTGATCTGTCCACTAAGACCCAGCCTCATGTACCCAGCTGCTGCCTAGTTGACATATGGGACATCCACTAGCAGTCTCAAACTTAAGACTGCTGACGCCCCCCACCTCTTCAACCCACATCTGTTCTCCCTCCTCCCTATCTCAGTAACTGGTACCGCAGTTGCTCAGGTGCAGGGGATCGGGCGCACTTCCTCTCTACTCCTCATCCTGTGGCCAGTCCCTCAGCAAGCCTTGTCCTTATGCCTTGAGACATGTCCAGGAGCTGACCACTCTTCACCATCTCCAGTGCCAACACCCGGTCCAGCCACTGCCACCTCTCCTCCAGCAGAGCTTCCAGGGCTGCCAACTGGTCTCCCAGCTTCTAGTCTTAACCCCCAACCAATCCTTTTCCAACCAGCACCTAGAGCGTCCCTTAAAACACAATCCAGGCTGGGTGTGGTGGCTCATGCCTATAATCCCAGCACTTTTGGAGGCTGAGGTGAGTGGATCACGAGGTCAGGAGTTCGAGACCAGCCTGACCAACATGGTGAAACCCCATTTTTACTAAAAAAATACAAAAATTAGCTGGTCATGGTGGTGGGTGCCTGTAATCCCAGCTATTCAGGAGGCTGAGGCAGGAGAATTGCTTGAACCCGGGAGGTGGGGGTTGCAGGGAGGCCGGAGGTTGCAGCGAGCTGCCCCACTGCACTCCAGCCTAGGCAGGAGGATAAGGCTCCGTCCCAAAAACAGACAAACAAACAAAAAACACACAAATCCAAGTTCTCTGGCTCAGTGCCATCTCCCCCAGAGTAAAAGTCAAAGTCCTGACAAAGTCCCTGCGGGGAGTCTCAGCGAAGCCATGTGGTCCCCTATCTTCAGACGTGGCCTCTCCATTCTGCCTTTCCTCGCTCTGCCCCAGCCACCCTGCCCTCCTTGCTCCTCCACACACGTTCCGCCCCAGGGCCTATGAACCAGGCTGTGTGCTCTGCCTGGACAGTCTTCCTGTGACGTCCGTTTGGCCAGCTCCTTCCTATCACTCACGTCTGCTCAGATGCACCCTTCTCAGGAGCTCTTTCCTGAAAATTTTTTCAAAAAACATTTGTTTGTCTGTCTCCCTTGATTGGATGTAACATCCATTTAGGCAAATGATAGGCACTCAATGAATATTTGTTGGATGAAAGAAGGAACAAATATATGGCCAGGCACCGTGGCTCATACCTGTAATCCCAGCACTTTTAGAGGCTGAGGTGGGCAGATCACCTAAAGTTGGGGGTGCAGGAGACTAGTCTGGGCAACATGGCAAAGCCCCATGGCAAAAATTAGCCGGGTGTAGTGGCACTTGCCTGTTGTCCCAGCTACTTGGGAAGCTGAGGCAGGAGAATTGCCAGGAGGCAGAGGCTGCAGTGAGCCGAGATCGTGCCACTGTACTCCAGGCTAGGCGACAAGAGCGAGACTCCATTTCCAAAAAAAAAAAAAGAACAAAAAATAAAAATGATGAAATATTCATAAGTGAGCAAGCCAAGCATACTGCTTTCATCACACGGCTGTGTCCCTCAAGAGATGTGGGATGCGCTTGGAGAAACTTGTCGTTGGAGCCAGTGCCCACTCACCAGCCTGGGCTCACTGCACTGCCTGCCTCCAGTAGGCATCTGAAGTGAGGGCTGGCAGGCAGACTCTTCATCAACGGTGGGTGGCATTTCAGGTAGAAGAGCTGAATGCTGGGTCCATTCAACTGTGACTGCATTCCCAGCAGAAGGAGATGGTTTTGCTTAGGTGTACCCTCTGTTTGGTCCAGGGTCTCCGGCAATGGTAGGAAGAGCCTTTCTGTGGGAAGACACGGCTGCTTGCAACGCAAGCATTTCCTTTCATTTCCTTCATTCAAGGAAATGTTTTGGAGATCCTCCTTTGTATTCGGCACTGCGTGAGCAGCTGGCAGTGTTACAGTGAAAAAGACACGTGCGGTCCCTGCCTTCAGGGAGCTCAGTGTAGAGGTGGAACTGGAGAAGTAACTGGGAGGAGCGCTTGCTCTGCTTGGAGTGCAGTCAGTTCTCAAAGGAAGTGGCATCACCTCATCTGAGACCCAAAGGCCATGTAGGGACTGGAAGCAAAGTGTGCAGCAAAGGTGGGGAAAGCAGCCAGCAGAGAAGAGGGAAGATGCGTGGAGAACCCTGGAGGGAAAAGATGGTGTCTTGTTGGAGAACTGAATGAAGTTCCTACGGCCGGGGCTTGCGCAGCAGATGCACGGACTGGCAAGAGATGGCAGCCCTGTGGGGAAAACTGCTTTCAAATCCTTGATTTAAAGCATCTGGTCCTCTCTGACGCTGTCTTCAATGGAACTGCCATTCCATCAAGGAGGTCCCCAGAGCCTTCCATTGTTGTACCCCCTCTGAGCCTTACGGGGGCAGGTGGGATGCCACCAGAAAAGCCACCTTGAAAGTGAGCGGGAGTCCGTGGCTAGCCACAGGCGCTCAGAAACCCTGAGCTTGAGGTGCCTCTCTAGCCAAGTGGTGGAATCCTGGAGTCTGCCAGATTAGGCTGGGGGTAATTCTTATAGAGTGGATTTCGTTTTTTTTTAAAAAAAATGAAAACAAACAAACAGTTAAGCTTCTCAGGTGGCCTGTGGATTGGCAGAGCTGTTTCCTTTTCTGGGAGGGGTTAGAGGGGAGGGTTCCTTTGAGGCTTTGACAGCACTGGCTAACTGGGTTTCTTCTCCTCTTCCTCCTCTATCTTCATTTTTTTTTTTTTTTTAAACCTAGTGCAAGATTCTTCTTCGGTACCGCTGCCCACATTCCTGGTGGCTGGAGGGAGCCTGGCCTTTGGAACGCTCCTCTGCATTGCTGTTGGCCTGAGGTGAGATGGGTCCTGGGGGATGGCCCTGTGGTGTTCTCATATTTCGTATCTAACTTTCCTTTGCCGGGCATCTATTCATTCATTTCTTCATTCATCAAATGGATACACACACCACAACACACACAGTGGGTCAGGAGTTCGAGACCAGCCTGACCGACATGGTTAAACCTCATTTCTACTAAAAATACAAAAGTTAGCTGGTCATGGTGGTGGCGCATGTAATCCCAGCTACTCAGGAGGCTGAGGCAGGAGAATTGCCTGAACCCGGGAGGTGGAGTAGGTGCTGTGTGTGTTGTGGCGTGTGTACAAGCCCTGTTGTAGGTGCTGCAGGAGACAGTGCTGGGCAGGACACATGCAGTCTCAGGAGGAAGCCAGACACTAAGACGTACACTCACTGGTGTGGTAAGAGCTACAAATGGTGTGCCCTGGTGAGGAGAACTGACCTGGTTTTAAGGAGGAAGAAGAATTGGTTTGAGGAAGAAGAGAAAGAAGAGGGTTCTTTCTTTCTTTTTTTTTTTTGTCAGGGTCTTACTTCCTCTGTCACCCAGGCTGGAGGGCTGCGGTGCAATCTTGGCTCATGGGACAACCTCCACCTCGCAAGGTTCAAGTGATCCTCCCACCCCAGCCTCTGGAGTAGCTGGGACTGCCAGTGCTTTCTACATGTTAGCTCATCGCGCCCTGCTGGTGCGCTGACCTAGCTTGACCACCACATGCGGCGTGGGTTGAAAAATTAGCAAGATGATTACTCAAATTGGATCCCGGGTTGTTTTCACTTTGCTTTTTCAACGAAGTAGAGAACAAGCCGTCTAAAGAGTGTGTGGAAGAGAAGATTCTTAATGAGTGGGGGCAGCTCCTTGGGGATGTGAAGTCTTTTGTGTTTTTTGGCCAGCGAGGGGCCATGTCAGCGTTCAGGGGTCCACCTCCTGCCTGACAGGGGATTCCTTTCCTTGTCCTAGGCATACCCTCCTGGGTTCTGGCTCTCTGTCTACATTAGGGCTTCAACAGGCTTTTCTCATAACCCACCACAGCCCCGATACAGTAGATATGATATCCATTTGACAAGGGAGGAAAGTGAGGCTGAAGGAGATGGAGCGATAGCAGCTAGTAAGAATAGGCCGGGCGTGGTGGCTCACACCTGTGATCCCAGCACTTTGGGAGGCTGAGGCAGGTGGATCACCTAAGGTCAGGAGTTGGAGGCCAGCCTGGCCAACATGGCGAAACCCCATCTCTACTAAAAATACAAAAATTAGCTGGGCGTGGTGGTGCACGCCTGTAATCCCAGCTACTTGAGAGGCTGAGGTAAGAGAATCGCTTGAACTCAGGAGGTGGAGATTGCAGTGAGCTGAGATCGAGCCACTGCACTCCAGCCTGGGTGACAGAAGGAGATTTTGCCTCAAAAAAAAGTATAAGAATAAGGCCAGGAGTCTAACCAAACTCCTGTTCTTTTGATAGGGCCTTAGGGGTCATCTAGTTAAACTCTTTCATTTTCTAAATGAGGGAACAGCCCCCAAAGGTAAAATGACTTGCCCTAGGACAAGAGCCAGGAGTGGAACACACTCCCTGAGAGTCCCTGTCCATGGTCCTCACCTGCTATTGGCTAAGTGCTGGGCGCAGCTGCTCCCGTCGGCCCACCACTGGCCCTTACCACGCAGTGCCATCTTGGCGTGTCGTCACCGCTAATGGAGGAGCAGTGGGTGGGAACAGACCTGGTTTGCTCTTCTGCTGATGATGCTTGGACACTGGCTGGTTGCTAAGCAACCAGAGTCCCCGCCCGCACAGAGAGGGCCAGTGCCTGTGCTGAGAACTTGCCAGGCATTTATTTCCTAGGCTAGTGAGTTTCCCTTTTCTTCTGTATAAGGCAAATCTGTTTGGAAAGAGACCAGTTATTTCAAGTGACGAAGAAGTCTTCTATTCCCCAAATCCCCTCTATCCAGCAAAGTGTATAAAATTAGAAATACCGTGGGGCTCTGGGCGCCAAAATGGCTGAACCATGGCTACCATGGGATGGCCATATTTACAAGAGATGGAGTGTGAGGGGCAGGTTGACCTTGTCCTGCCAGTCTATACTATATTTTTTGTATTGCCCTAAATATTTTCCAGCAATATTAGTGATTTTTTCCTTTTTTTTTTAAACTCATTCTTTTTTTCTGAAGCATAGATAATTTTTAAAAATTTAAATATGCTTTGAAAAAGGCTTTCCATCTTATAGGAGCCAATTCCTCCCACCCTAGTCCCTGTCCCCCACCGACTCTCTGTCTTTATTTTAGGTTATCAGCCACTGGGAAAATAGGATTCTCCTAGTAGAGAATTACTTTTCTGCATATTTATCTAGAATGAACTTAACATCATTAAGTGAGGACCTCCTACGTGTATGCCTATGACTTAAATACCATTTTGTTTTGAATGTAGTGTATCATTCCAGTATTTTAAAATCAGAGTTCTCCTATCTCCACAGGGGAGTGGGGGGGATATGGGCAGAGGGGCTTTCACGGTGTCCTAGGCCATGGAAGTGGCTGGGTGCAGTGGGTACTGTCTGTGGCCTTTGGGGTAAGGGGTGGCACCTTGGTTTCTACATATCTTTCTAAAAAACAGTGAAAATTTTGAGCGTTTTAAAAAAACCTCTTTTTTTAGCTGCAGAATCTTTTCTTTAAACAAAACGTTTTGAAGCCCAAATATGTGAAATAGATAAAAAGTGGAGGTCAAGGTGCAAAAGAAGGCAGCAGAGAGTGCATCTGTTTCTTCTTCCTGCCTGCCCGCTTCCTCTCCAGCCCCCAGGCCCTGTTCACACTCATCCGGGCCAGCTCTGGGTACCCTCAGCCTGGCTGGTTTCAAAGCCCTCTTTGAGTTTAGTGATTTTCAGAAAAGGATTCATACTCTCCTCAGAATATTTCAAAAGGAAAGCTCACCTTTCTTGGTTACCCATTCGGTTACTTTGAAAAAAACCTGAGGGTAGAGATTGCTTCCATATTAGTTAAATAAGGTCAATAGGGACTTTAAAAACATATACATACACACATACACAAATGTATGTGATACGTTACTATTACTGGTGATTTGCTAAATAATGACAGATGGAAGAAAATATATGTCATCCAAAGGGGGCCACTGTTAATTTTCAAAATGTAAATGTGATCGAAGTCTAACAAACATACAGAAAAGCTCACACATCATGTGGACAGCACCATGAAGTGCACACACCCATGTCATTGTAATCATAATGAGATGCACGTGGCCAGTCAAGATGCGGAGACACCAGGTTGCATCAGAGAAAGAGGTTTAATGAAAAGGTCACTTAGGGAGGAGATGGGAGGAAACCTCAAATCCAGCTCTCCAAGGAATCTGGGGCTAGGGTCATAAAGATGCTGGACTGGACCAAAGCCTGGAGATATTTGGCTGGTTGCAGGGTGCAGGGTGAAATCCTGGGACAGGGAGGTAAGAACCTGTCTTCTCATGCCAATGCCGTTCCTCTGTGAGGGTCTTCAAACTGGTTGCTGGAATTTGGTTCTGAAAAACATCTTTAGTGATCCTTAAACAAAAGTCTTAGGACCCTCATGTCAGAGATCCCATATGCAGAAGCAACAGGAATGCAGATGGTTAGTTTCTAGGGCTATGTGACTTTTTGCAACAAGGAAATGGGCCAGAGTGCAGCCTGATTAATGCTTCGTTATAACTCTTAATATATTTCTGTCCAGAACCCAGCGTGCAGTTTTTGTCAACCCCGTGGAGATGGTTTCACAAACAACACCCAGATCAAGAACACTTAATATTTAGACGAATTTCCTGAGTCTTTTTCCTCTGCCTAGTTTCTTGTTTGTTTTTTCATAGCCATGGTTATTCTGTATCCTCAGCCCGGCATCCTGCCTTTCACACTCAGCACTATAACATAGGCATTCTTTCACATGAGTACAAATTCTTTGTAAGTCTCACTTTCATTAGCCATAGTGTTAGATGGATAAACCAAGTTCTCCTAATCGACCGCCCGTTACTCCTAATTGGTGGCACCCAAACGTTACCAATTATTTGGGTGTTATTTGCTTTTCTTTTATTTATTTATTTTTTGAGATGTATCACTCTGTCACCCAGGCTGGAGTGTGCTGGCACAATCTTTGCTCACTGCAACCTCTGCTTCCTGGATTCAACTGATTCTCCTGCCTCAGCCTCCTGAGTAGTTGGGATTACAGGTGTGTGCCATGACACCTGGCTAATTCTTTTCTTATTTTTAGTAGAGATGGGACTTCACCACGTTGTCCAGGCTGGTCTTGAACTCCTGACCTCAAGTGATCCACCCACCTCAGCCTCCCAAAGTGCTGGGATTACAGGTGCGAGCCACCATGCCCGGTCCTTATTTTGCTTTTATAAACAACACTGTGTTGAACATCTTTGTGCATTAATCTTTTTCTATTGCTATGTTCTTTCTTTTCCCAGAAGTAGAATTCCTGGGTTAGAAAGTCTGAATTCTTTGAAATCCAGAGTGTAATTAATGACTTGCTCCTCAGTCCTCTCCTACAGGAGAACTCCATTCAATGACTCAGCAGTCCTGCTGGGCTCCCTTCCTGTGTGGTGTCCAAACGGTGAAACCCTAAGTAACATTCTGCAGATTGTTTATCCCATTTGGATACCAGGCTAAGAGCCAGTGGCAGATTTGGAGCCAACTATTAATTATTTATCATAACAAGGACAGGAATAACCTGTCGATATAAAAAGAAACGCAAGGAAAAACCCCAAATCTTGTTTTTGACATTGATTTCCCCTCCTCTTTCCCAGCCCTTCCTGGAGTAACTGATCTTCGATGGAATTGAGGGAGGCCACCTTGCTCCCACTTTGGGGTTAGTAGGCATGCCAATCACAAAGTGGGAAGCAAGAGGGAGGTGCTGAGGCTTGGGGCGCTGGTCACCCCGGCACAGTTGAAGGGCCCCTTCAGGAAGGGGACGTGACTGTGGCTTTGAAGATCCATGTCGCCATCTCATCTTTCTTTGAGCTGTCAAGTGACTTTTCTCAGTTCCTGAGTCCTGGCTTTGGGCCCAGAGTGGAGCGCTGTGAACGAAGCTGTGATCAGAGAGATGTCTATCTCCTTCCTGTGTAGCACTGACTTTCCTGTCAGATGAGTCAACTTGTGCCCAGTGGTGCCCACGGCTGAGTCTGTGGGAACTCACCAGTGTGGTGGGAGTGGACCCAGAGGCGTGGGGAGAACTGGGGAGGTCGG